CTTGTTCGTAGTTACCACCAGAATCTGGTGGTAGTTTATGCAACCCTCCAAAATTATGCAATTAGTTGAAATTGTCAACGGTTCAAACCTCGCAAGACTTTAAACTCACCATGCACCATCTTATCTGTCTGTTTGGTTTCAGTGCATATTTCTTCGAGGATTTTCCATGCCACATTTCAATGGATTAATTGTATTAATTTATTTATAAACTAGACCCAGCCCTCCGCCTGGAAAGGGAATTTATCAATATTGCAGTCCATAAATGTGGAAGCATTTGTGGACTGGGATGCAGGCTAGTTCTAGGCATTTCAGTATATGAAATGAAGTTGCAGCTTGAGAGGCTTTTAGGGCATATCTCAATTCAATTTTCGATTATGTTTTTCGTATCTCAATTGAATCAAATGGTATTTTGAAAAAAGCGATAAATCTTGGGGCAAGCAAACACTTGTCAAATTAGTATAGGCTAACCATCGACTTAAGCCTTGGCCAAACTGGGCAACATTGTTTAAATCAACTTCGAAGCTTAAATTTTGACAGGCCATTTTTATTGAATCGAGTTGAGGATATTGTTTTGCAATACAACACTGCGCATGTTGATTTTTTCTCAGATGGTAAATTGAAGTGAATTGTTGCCCGACAATGTGGCCAAACTGGACAACATAGGGCTGAGCAACAAATGTTGCTGAAAAATGTTTAAGCATGTTCAAACATTCGAGCAACAAATTTCTTAATGAATTTGTCGGCCGACATGGTGGCCAAACTGGACAACATTTGAGCAACATTATGAATTTGTGAATGTTGCCCGACAATGTTGCCCAGTTTTGCCAAGGCTTTACTGAAGAAATTCCTGGGAGGGACCACGTGGTGGTCACTGGTAATGAAGGTTTGTTGGAACTAAATGTTGGAACATCGAAGAAGTTGGGCATAATCAATCGTAATTATGTATTGCGGGAAAAGGAGGATTCTCAAAAACCGGAGATTACACAGTTGCTAATTAAAGATAAGAAAATACACTTACTAAAACTGATCACTCTGTTGGTTCTTGCATGAGCAGCGCTTGAAGCACTTTTTCTAAGGCAATGACCCAAAGTATGAGCCCCGTTCTCCTGTGTTACATCTTCCTTGAACTTTTTTTTTGCTCTGGAAATTGCCACGTACTACAGCTGCTAAGCCCTCTTTGCAACACTGGTTTGAATTGAAAGACCACAAATGTTAAACTATCAACAACGGTTCTTTATCATCAACGCTACTTTACTCAAGGCTAGGCCCTAGAAATAATAAGCTCTTGCCTCCACTTTTGCTGCGCAAAGACTAAAACTCAAGTTGATCTGCTGAGAATTCCCTTTGGGTTTCTGTCTATTCATCAGCTGCAAAATTTTGATCTCTTGAGGCCAGAGCCTTTTGTCATCATGTTTTAGAAATCAAATCTCTCCAATGAGTTTTAAGGAACATGGGAATTCGGACACTCATTTAAAGTGGATGTTAGAAATAGAAAGAAACGGCGACTGGACTCTAAAGTTTAGTTTAAAAGTTTTTGCAATAGCAACATATACAAATCATATATGCTCAAACAGCGCCTCTTATCAACATTCACTGACGATTTCATTTTGTATGTGAAGGAGGCTGACATTGTTCTTTATATACAAAGGAGGCGAATATGCTGGATTTGTAGCTTTGCATGAAATAATTGCGATGTTTGTTAAAACCAAACAAAAGACAAGCTCAGCTTGTCAGAAAACCAAGAAAAGTTTGCGTTATACCAACCGCAGTCTTAATGCACTGGTCGTTTTCCCACAGCCTTGTGCCGATAGAGGTCTGGGATCCAGTTTGTTGTTGAAGTAGTGTGCCCGCACAAAAAGGGGGTGTACTAGTACTTGTATATATTCATATATAACTCTCTATTTAGAGTGTTGCATATATAAATAATTGCACACAAAAACATTTATATAGGCACTTAGGTATATATGCCGTGTCATGTTTCGCAACTTCGTTTTCAAAAAGGCACTTGGAAGGTAACATGTTGTAATATGTGATGAGCTTGGCTGGGAGTCTCTCAATCTCTGACGATGGGGTAGACGCCTTGTTTCATTTTATAAAATTATCAACCATTTGACTCTAGACTACACGAGAAGCCCTGTGCCTCAACGTCAGGAATCTAACAACAATCTTCGCAGGCGAGCTACGGTAGGACAATAACGTGTGAGAACAGAGAGTTACAAATCAAACTTCTATCCGAACTGTCCTTCGGGAAGGGGAAAAAACTTGACCCTAAACAATGACGAACTCTCAGTTTACGGCAACCATGAGCGACCCAAAACGTTTACTCATCTAAACACAAGTACGTGCTGGGCTCAGTAAACTAAATTTTCACAAATTCATATATAACTTTAGGGACCCTCTGTGCCCGAAAAATGACGGCATTGAAGATATAGAACAGTATTTGCTGCTTTGCCATGCTTTTGACGCAAAAAGACATTATCTTCTCGACAGCGTAAATGCGACCTCGCGGTTCTGGAAACCTTTCAAATTGAGAGCTGCTGCAATTCAATTCAATTCAAATATGAAAGCTCCCTAGGCAACATAAAACTTCAAAAAGGCCTCGGAACTGTTTCCATAAGATATTGCCAAAACCAGTATTGGTGTCGCCTCCTTTCAGTTTGCGCGGGTGGTTGGTGCATATTTCGTTTAGTTTGGTGGCTTGGGTTTGTTTTTACTACATGCCATTTGATCGGGCGGGGGGATGATTGGCCATTCTTGTGGTATTTTTCTTGGGGATTTAGTGACTGTATTATACAAACCCCTTTTCTCGTGTAGAATCTTCATTCTTTTATATCTAGTTTTATTCATAATATCTGTTATATGTTAAGTGTAATGGCCGCAGGGTTGTTATGTATTTCCATGCTCCCTGCTGGTATCGTTTTGTAATCAATTGTTTGTTCCTGTAAATTTTATAAGATTATAAAAAGAGGTAATATTCGCATCGGATTGAGTAACCAATACAAAATTATTTTACACACAACCCCACGGCACTAAGTGATATATTACTTTAATATATTACTTACGAAAAATATATTACTTTATTACTTTGGATCATTTTCAACAGGGGAAATAAAAGAGTTAAAGAAGCATCGAAGCAAACATCAACGATCAGGCAATTTTATGGTAAAGAAAGAGACCCAACCACGGGTCGTGCACCATCAATGGATACAGAGCCGTCGCTATTGTGCTAAGGGGGAGTGCTCAGATCCCGTTTGCCAACAATGTGAATGAGCCATTCTTTCTTTGGCGGCAAATCTGAGAATTTGCCGAGGAAGCACCTTCAGATGGCAAAAAGCCCCGAAGCGATGACCCTCAGTAGAAACACCGAGTTTGGAAGTAAACCCTTTTGCGAAAATAATGTAATTCAAACGCAAGAGAAAGTTAGGCTAGGGTTACTCTATACCGGATTGCTATCGCAGCGGAGCAGAGCGGAGTAACTTTTACTCCGGAGTGATATTTAGGGTAGCAGTTACACTACGACGCTCCGCTCGCTTATAAGCCTGCATTCCTTTGAACTTCTGGTACACAAAATCCACCAGATTAAATTTTTTGATGGTATTTTTGAATCTATGTGCTGTTGCGAATTCGTTTTCAATAGCTATGCGTAAAATGACGAAAAGAACCATGAAACTGAGAGATAAATGATAGGGTTCGTAGGACGGATAGCGAGATTGTGTTTCATCTGATGTGTTAAAGTATGTTTTTCGTCCAAGGGCCACTTCAATAAAATTTGGGTAGAGATGAAATCCAAATACGAAAATGTTGGGATGATTTCGATTTGGCATTATCCAACAGCAACAAAATCTCAGAAAGCGCGTTCATTAACGATCCAATTGCTTCAATCAGAAAACAATAAGAAAATCCTTTGTTTCGAAATGGAGCATATCGGATTCGTGCGATTACACTACAACGCTACGAGTGATTTTCGTATCACCTGCAGAGCAAAGTGCTTTTCACTCCGCTAATCAGAGCGTTGTGTACCGGATTGGTGTGGCGTAGTGTAACTCAAACCCCTATCCGATATGAAAGTTACTCCGCTCCGATAGCAATCCGGTATAGTGTAACTGGCACCTTATTTTCAAAATGACTTTTTATTACAAAAGCGAGAAATACGCAATAGAAATTTATTTTCAAAATGACTTTTTAATAGAAAAAGCTTTCAGTAAAAATTGACAATGTCGATAAAACTTTACAATCTCATTAGTTTTCTTTGCTAAATGTTACAGTGTAAAATACTGTTTGTTTGACCACATCAAAAAAAGCAAAAAAGTAGTTTGTAAAAATTAACCTACCTATAAAAGTTAAAGATAACCAGCGTCTAGGTAAATTTAAGGTGCCAAAGAAAAGGATGAATGTTCAACTTACGACGACACTGGACGCCAGAACGGCCACCATTCAAGGGACTGGATTTTTAAAGATAACAATGAGACCTAAAATTTGTATCGACTGAAAATATTAGCTAGTGTGGTTTTTGCTCCGATACTTTTGAATATCAATTAACTTTCCATTTTTATCCTCCAAGATATAATCGAATATATCTGTACTTATCTTTAAGTACAGGCAGTCAAATGGTGTTTGAGACACTTCTTAAGGTGAGAAGTGTTTTAAAATCGTTTTTGGAAATGTTTCAATCTAGATATAATGGTAGACGTGAAATTATTAAACACTTATTATGCATTTTACAAAAAAAGATCATTTCCAGAAGGGGGGGGGGGGGTTAGTCTAAGGGGCTCAAAAATTCCCAATATGATAAATCATCCTTCTCTCGGAATTCAGTTTGTCGCCACACAAAATAAGTTTTAACTTGCCCAAGCCCTCCCCGCCGCAATCTTTTATATGTTCTACGGTCACTGAAAAGCGGAATACGAATCCTTTTTTAAAAATCATCAGGCGACATACGTAAATTGAGAATAAGAAGACCAGAATAAATTGAATAAAGTAATTCCTAAAAAAAGCTAAATTATCACGGTAGTAGAAGAAGTTGCAGCTTCGTTCGCGATCACATTTTCCGCTGCGCTCGAATCTTGAGACGACCCGGTTGTCCTACCGGGTGATGTGCTTCGGCGTCTTATTTTTCTCCGGATTTCATTAAGATGTTCCGGATCAACTTCGGGCACTTCCTCGTCATTGAATGACCAGTTGCGAATAAATTTACCCGGCCTAAACGGAGTTCTTGCCATTAAATGCACGCAAGTTTCACCTCGATGCAAAACCATTGCAATCACTTGAGCCAGTAATACCTGCAATAAAAAGAAACTAGTGAGCTAACTTTTTTGCCAATAAAACATTTCATTCTCACAAAAGAGATATCTTTCTTCGTTAATAAGTGCTGGAAACACAAGAGTTGGTTTTCGAAGGAAATTACATAAACTGTAAGAACGGATGCTTCATTTTTGCAAATTGGAACTGAAGATGCATGAGCGACGTTATGAAAGATTCCGGCCCGACAACAAAATATGATTGCTTTCGATAAAAGAAGATCTCAAAGGAAGACACCCCCACCCCGTAGCCCCACTTCGCAATCAATTCCCAAAATGAATTCAACGGTTTTCATATGACATTGTCAATATATTAACCTGCTTACCAAGAAGTAAACAAACAAAAAAGCGACACTGGCGAAGTCGGCACCCATAAGCTGCAAAGCCGGGCCTTGGCTCATTACAGTCAACATGAATGTGAGCCACAAAGCATTGCCAACAATTAACACGCCCAGAGAAACATCTCGCAGCTCTGAAAGTTTTTCCTTGAGCTCTTGACTCTGGTTGAATGCAGCTTGTTCCGGAAGCAAGCAGATATCCCTCAGACAAGACCAGAATGCATTCTCTTCACCATTGCCCTCACTCTCCAATTTGTCACATCGTGTTTGATCAATTTCTTTTCTTGCTGCTCGAATTAGCAATTGTGCTAAGGTAAAGGGATAATGTAGACAGCAAATGAATTTAAAACAGATTAAGATGTGCTATTGTGCTAAGGTAAAGGGATAATGTAGACAGAAAATGAATTTAAAACAGATTAAAGGCAATCTGTCACGACGTTGATTGGTTATAAGAACAAAGGGATTCTATTGTTTCCAGTCCCCCTTTAATTTATCGCATTGTATAAAATAGGCGGAGCGCTGGAATCGTGTTTAGGCTATTGTTCCAGCTATTGTTCTCGTTAACCAATCCACAACGAGACAGATTGCCTTTAAGATTGCACCATGACAGCATAAAATAAAAGAGACGAACTGACAAACGTATTTATATATAGTGAGTCTGGTACCTAGGGTACCCCCCCCCCCCCGCTTGTTGATATTCGAAAAGATTCCACCGATGACATCCTTATTCCAGAGCCCCTTTTTTCGAACGTGTTTTGTTTTAAGAAAGTGCAAGGTGTATACAACGAAGCTCGTCGTAGTATAAGGAAGCTCACCCGGGGTTAACTCTTATGTTACCGAATACAATTTTTATATATTAAGAAACAAATCTCTTGTTATATTCCCTTTTCTTAAAATTTAAAGGGAATGTTAGCTATTCACCCCGATACTTCTTATTTGGGAAATCTTCCACCTACCCCGTTTTTCCAGACAGTGGCGGAAATTCAGGTTTTCATTTGGGAGGGGGGGGAGGCATCCTACAATTTTCGGAGGGGTATAGAAATGCCGACAAAAAGGGCATATCTAACTCTTTAAGGGTGTAGTCGTAAGATGAATAATCTTATATGTTGCTTCATTGCGTTTCTATTTGCATTACCTTTACTTGGATACTGCAGTTTGCTAACAGCATTCATAAGTTTCCGAAGATGTCCCTCTTTGTGGATATGAAAAGTTTCCTGCAGTGTTTTTCTGTCCATGTATTTCACATCTGCGAGTTCCCGCGATTGCGTATAAGAGCTAGTCTTGAAGTTTTCCCAGTAGTCATCAAGACCTAACTTCGCCAGCCATTCTTCGACATCCTCCTGTGGAACAAAACGCATTTAATTTCTTCGCTACAATACACACACAGTACCTATCGGAAAGAGCTTGAAAATGAGGCCACGATTATCTTTCATTTAAAAAGTAGTATGGAAGCTGAGCTAATGTAGCCAAACAATGTAAAAAATAAAGTACGTATTTACATACGGGAACTTCCTCTTCAATTTCCTCTGGCGGTAAACTTTTAATCAAGTTCATTATCATGTTTCGATGACCACGATTTTGTATCCCAATGACATTTATTAAATCCTGCAACAAAATTGATACTATATTAACTTAAAGAAAGCACCACAAAATTATGAAATAAATGTATTTCAAGCAAAATAATGAATTAGGTTGGCTTCACAAAAGCCCTAGAAACAGGAACAGCTAAAAGTTTCCCTGCAAAAAACAATATCTTATTTGTTTAAGTTTGACAAAATGTCGTTCTCGAAGTATTGATAACCTCAAATACGCATTCTTGATATATTCACAAAACGGAATAGAGTGTCTACTATCTCCATTGAGCCGTGTTAGTCCACCTACTAAGAAACAAAGGTCAATTTTGAGTACTCCAGTTTCTTAATATTCTGGAAATTTCAATACTCATTGTTCTTAAGAGTTTCTTAAGTATGATGTCATGAATGATGTTATGAAATGTTCGTGACCTTTCTAATCACGTCAACAGATTCGCTTTCGTTCTGATGCTGTTTTTAGATGTGGGACGTATATTTTTATCCCTTGTGTCTTAAGTTCTAGGCCAACAGGACAATCATGTTCTTTGATTTTCAAAATTTTGTTGTTCTGAGTTTTATCACGATTTAATATTTTTTAATTTTTTTGCTTCGAGGACTGAAGTTTCTTAATTTTTTCTGACTGTCCAGTACTCGTTTCTTCTACTTCTTTTTCCTGGCAAATAACTACAAGTTAGGCCCCCGTGCCGATTCCGGATAAGAAAGACTTTTCGTTTCCTTGCTTGGGATCTGATCGTATGAAAGAGGTAATGAAAGAGGTATTTTTACATTCAGCTGCTGTTAATTGAAACTGGGGGCCATTGCAGATTTTCAAATGCAAAGTAACATCTTGACTAGGAAAGGCTTGAGAAAGGCAAATGGACTGGAATCACAGATTATCGACTAGCAACTTTGCTAGATTTGCACTGCTAGAACACGATTCTATATAAAAACTAGTCCAGACTGCTTTGATTTAGGGATCTCTAATTCTTACAAGCAAATGCGATTAACGATTAAAATCTCAAAAATTGCATACAGTATCTTGATATCAAGTTTGTTTCAATAAGGAAATTGATTTGAAAATGATGCGCCGGGTAGTCGCGAGGGAAGCAGAAAATGATATCAGATGGTCAATTTACGCTTGGTAGACTAACCTTGTCTTTGATTCCTTGAAGAAAACTAACATTATCATAACCATTTTCTTTGAACAACCGAACGTAGTTCTAGGAAAAACGAATATAAATAAACGATGACATCATGTATAAACAAGCACGTAGGCCGGGGAATGTAGGATTGTTTGAATTAGCGATCTACGCAAGATAAAATCACCAACTTCCTGACTTCTTTTTTAATATCTTTGTCCTAAATGACAAACAACTTCCGTAGACAGTAAAAATAAAAGCAGACGAAGAAAATAAACCAGTTACTGGCAAAGTAACTAGAAGGGTGGCGTGTTCTGGTTGACAGGGATGTTTCTCTGGTTTATTCATGCTGGTTTTGATAGCAAAGGACTCGAATCTTGAAAGTATGAGAGCACATGCAACCTCAAGTGGTCTGTCTTTCTACTGAGACTATCACTGCTTCAGAAACGCAAGCAAATGTAGGCTATGATGGGAAGTTTTTTCATATTCTGTATTTCTGAACGTAATATCAACGCAAATTTGCATCAAGATTAAGAATACACAGTACACAACTCAACGCACAGCCATTGAGAGAGAAAGAAGGACTCGTTTCGATGTTGAGTGATGTGGTAAGAGTGATGGTGCTTAGGCCCATGAATTTGACTAAATTTTAGTATCTGGTAATTCTGGTTCGATGTGAACAACGAATAAGTAAAGGCAGAAGGAATGAATAACAAAGTAAATATTGCAGAAGCATGAAAGAATTAAGTGATTATATGAATGTTTTACTTAATTATTATACCTGGTAGTCACCACTTGGAAGCCATTCCTCTATAGAAATGGAGGAATGCAAACGAGGCATTCTGGCCGCAAATCGTACTCCACTGCTTTGCCCTGGAAATCTGAAACCATCAGTTTCTTCTGAAAAGCAGATGGAATGTTTTTCAACACTAGGGACTAAAAATATATATGTATATTCTAAGCTATGTTCAAGTTTGTTTTTCCAAGCGGGTTTCACCTCAATACCTTGTGAACGCTCTGTGTCCCTCTTAACCTTGACAAAAGGTTTATGCTTTTCAAATATAGTTCGGTTTTGTTAAAAGTTATAGTTCGTCTAAGTCGATTAGAAATTGGTTAGCCGGCGTGCAGATCTAAACGGAAGACGTGAAAAATGACCATTAAAATATTTTTTCGCAAAAAGATCGAAAAAGTAAATTATCCAAAATTGCAAATGTTTTTATGCTATTTGTTGCAAGCTCATTTAGTATAGCAAACATAATAATTGAAAGTGAAACTTAAAATCTCGAAACAAACAATTTAGGTCTTAATTTTCATATGAAATATGGATTGAAATGGAAAATCAATGTTGCTCAAATGATGGAAAGAATGTATGAAGATGAAACATAAATTGTATACGCATCTAAAATGATCTGTAAATGCCCACTTAGATTACAGGAAAAGGAGTTCTATTTCACTTTTCAAACAATCAGAAGGGTGACTGAGCAACTAAAACGTTTCATTCATTTTCGCAAATAAAACCACCATTCCATCCAAAAACAACTTTTTGGAAAAATGATTTGGTAAAGTTTAATTTTTTTTTGAATTACTGCGAAAGTTAAGTAAAATATTGGCAAAGTAGCATCAAGGTAGGGCAATGTTTGATGTTTTGGAAAAATAGCGCTATGCAATGTTCTGTTAAAGTAACGCATCGGTAAAGCACCGTTTCAGTAATTTAATGTTTTGATGAAATAATGAAATTTTGCAAAGTAACGTTTGTGAAAAAAGCATTTTGCTGAAGTAAAGGTTGACAAAGTAATGTTTCGTCAAGTTAATTTTCTGGTAAAAACTTTATTTGCTAAACTAAATTTCAAGCAAAGTAACATCTTTGGCAAATAAACGTTTTTGAAAAATAGCGCTTTTTTGAGTAAATTTTTAGTAAGTTAAGTTTGGCAAACAAAATGTTTTGGTACAGGAATGCTTTGCTAAATAAACGTTTAGGAAAAATTAAGATTTGGCAAAGTCATGTTTTTGTAAAGTAATATTTTATCAAGTCAATGTTTTGGTAAAGCAACGTTTTTAAAGAAGAATGTTTTTGTAAAGTAAAATTTCGGTAAAGTAATGTGCTTAAACTAAATTTCAAGAAAGTGATTTTTTTGGTGAAGTAGCTTTAGATGGTAAGACATTTCACCAGTAAAATATATGGGCTCACCTACGCTGACCTGTTTCCTCATTCTTGTTCCTACTCTCCTTAAAGCCGATTTAGTGGGTGGATCTGGGAGCACAGGGTAATGATCAGTCTCTTCTTCAACGTATGCACCGTCTGTGGTGTCCAACGAATCCGGTTTCGGGTACTCACTATCACTGTCCCAGCCATCATTCGATTCACCATCCTAGATAAAAAAATTTAGTGCCTATATGGATCAGTAATCTCCTCTATTAGCAACCATTGATCACTTTCATTTCTACTCTAATAAATCCCTTCAGTATATAACACAGTGAAAGACAAATTCAGAACTAAGTTGCTGCTGCTCAAATGTGTTGTGTTCTCTTAAAATGTCGTTGCTCAAACTATGTGGATGTCATTGTAGATATTTAAAGCGAAATGGTGAAATTTTTTGGAAACACAGTCTTGTTTTTAGAGATGTGAAGAATTTCTCACATTGTATTTTAACCATTCATAAAAATATGTCATGGATGCAGTACAATTCCTACAAAAAATGAAAAGAGATTTTAATCTATTTCTAGATGACCAGGACATATACCTATAAAATCCCTGTAAAAATTGCATTAATAGGCAAGGTAGGTGGTTGCAAACAAACAGCACTTTTTGCAACGTTATAAATGATGTGGCTGGCACAAAAGCGAGTCTCGTGTAGAATTGGACTGTAGTGGTATTAAGAAAACGTCACACGTGGATAAACACATCAACTGTTTTTAGTCATCACCACCCTATGTCTCGAGTGAACAGTAATTATAGTCAGAACAGGAAAATATTTTGCAAAGGAGAAAGCAATGGTTGTTGTTACAGCCATGTGAGGAGACACCCTTCTCAGCAGATGTCAGAATAACTGAACACAAAGAAACGGCAAAGTAACGCTTGTTGTTAAAAAGTATTTTTTCCTGTAACATGAACAACTTTGAAATTGATAGTGAATTACCTATAAACATAAAATCTGTTCTTGTGAAAACAGTGTTTAACGAATATAGTAAAAGGGTAACAAGAATCAGAAGAACTGCGGTTGCCAACAGGCATTGGGCTAGCATGAGCTATAGCCCCCCTCCCCCCACTTTTTTGCAATGATAGGTTAGGAAACTTTTTGGAAAGTTTATTCTAATGCAACTTTGGCTAGTTTACTCCTATGTAGTAGCAGTTCTTCTTCACTGGAAACCCTTTTTGTTCATTTTGCTCAGGCACCGCGGAGGAGGGGGCTGGGAGGGGGCTTTAGCCCCCCACTTTTTGCAAAAGATGCCAAATATTAAGAAGTAGCCACCAATAAAGCCCCTTTTTATTCAGTTTTAGCCCCTGCACTTTTTTAGATCCCCCACTTTTCTCAATGCTCCGCGGTGCCTCTTTCTAGGTGATTTATCTTGTCTAATTCTATGATGTATTTCCTATTTTGGTTAGCTTGGTGTTTTATTATCTCCAGCTTTTTTGATACATTTTTATAGTTACTGATATTATCTCTGAACCAAATAGTTTAAAAAATTGAAATTTAATAAAATCAGGAGAAATAAGCGAGTATTTTCTAAAAGGTGCGTTTTCCCGCATTCTAGAGAGCGTGATTAAAAAAAAATTTCGGTCACGCCAACCATGATGGCAGCCTTTGTTGAAGCCCCTGAACAATTTTAACAGTATGGTTCCCACTTAATGATACTATCGGGCCTTGGTAGAGTTGTACCCGGGGTGTAGTTCTCTACGGGGCAACAAAAAAGATTGGTGAAAACTTTGAGTACCACGCCACAGGTCTAGATTTCTATTTTTAAGGCCAATATTATCCGACCTGGTTTTCCTGTATGTAGATGGTGAACGCCTGCACCCAGTTTCCTAAGGTGCTATCGCTTAAACAAAAAACCATGCCACGACGTTCCGAAGGAAAGCGTTTACAGAGAGGAATCAAGCAGCGGGACCAAAGCCCAAGTAAAAGGTGAGAGTATTTATTCTTATTTGTTGAGTTCGAGCTGTAAAAGACAACTTTGAAAATACAAAAAGTTTCTGGACTACGTTGAGTTCTATACATTTCAATTTGAAATTTTAGAAAATTATTAAATACATCTTGGTTTTGTTTGTGCTTATGGGAAGCACGTCCCATTTATCATTAATAGGGAACAGATATGCTGGTGCTCGAGAAAGAACAAAATAATAAAGGACAGCATTTAAGATTTCTAAGTCTACTAAGAAAGGAGAAGACAAACATACCACCGTTTCTTGTGATCCTTGCTCTTGTTCGGGACCATCTTCGACCACTATAGTCTCAACCTGCTCAGGCTGAGGTTTGGGTCTCATCGATGGCGGAATGCAGCACCAACATAAATGCTTAAAATAATCGATAGCCGTCTTTGTCCAGTTGCTTGATTCTGTTGATACAACTTTCGCTTCTCGGGTACCTTAAATGTATATAAACTTCCGTCAAAACAGGCATTTAAAATGTTATGGATCTACTCTCCAAGAAGTGACGCAAATGCAAATTACATATAGCTGTGTAGGCTGTGTCTTTATCTCTTTCATTTACAAAATATATAAAATAAAAACGCAAAGCAAGCACGATACATTTGCTTCCGACATCTGCCGTTTCCTTAATTTCAGTAAAAATGCGTGTAAAAAGAGCATTTAGAAAACACGACAGCAATCATAAGAAAGCATGACGACTTTCATTAGCGACACGAGCGTGATGACCATCAGACTCGTGAATCAAATTCTATTAAAACAGGGAACAGAAAATAAGACTCACCAATAAAATTAAGTCATAACTATCATATTTTATTTGTGAACATAGTCAATCAACCTCTACATGGTTTCTCTCAACCTCTATATGGCGCTGTTTGAACATGCCCAGACATCTGAGTTTTCTATCGTTTACAGCCTAGTTTTGTATCTTGTTTTTAAAGCTTGAACTTTAGTATTACACGAAGTTATCAACACTGAGCCTTTTTAATGAACATGGACATTTATCGGGTCACCAAGAATTTTGTCAAGGCAGTTTAAAGATGAGAAGGTTATTGTTTTTCAAGGAATAGAATTAAAAGTTGCGGCAAACGTAGGCTCTAAACATAACTAGCAATAAAATCATATCATGAAAAAAAGCAAAAAAACCTTTTTATTAGTAACAAAAGATTTTCTACTTCTCAGCTTTCGTTTCTGTCGTTTAGAAGTTTGTATAACTTGAATTGAAAGTGGCTTAGGCCTTCTGCCAATAAAAAAGTGGCCAGTCTATAAGCGTGACAATTATCTGGAGCTTATCGATTGGCCAATAGTTGACTGACGGGTCCTTCAAGTCATTTTTGTAACTTTCGAATGCCTTTAAGTCAATAAAATGAATTTTACCCCAAGATCTGTCAGTCAGATTGGCCACTGAGTATATCGTGAGCAGCAAATATCCAGAAGGCAAGCAAAGCAGATACCATATGCCATGGACCAGTGCCATAAATTCGAAGCCATGGAGAAGGGAGGTCAGGAAAAAGAAAGCAATCATTGCAAACAGATACCAAGTGGTCGGAGACAACAATAAAAGTTCTTTTGTAGGTGGTTTCTCAGTGGTCGTATTTGAAATTGCTTGTCCAACTCGAGTGTAATTGTCAACATCTTTGACAGTCTAAAAAAGCAAGGAGTTATTCATATTGTTTACGGATAAATAAAATAAAATTTCTGCGTTGGTAGAATAAGATATGAAAGCAATTCTTGGAAAGGAAACACACCGATGCACGGAATCTTGACGCAGCATACAGAGCTTCCCCTGAGTTGCTAAATAAACACACATTCAAATGCGTGACCTTGAAGTCATCAATGAATCAGTATGTTTAAGGTTTAATTGGTCATTAATGCTTTCTTTAATGTTGGGATGTGACAATATTTCAATACTTCTAATAATGGTTGTAAGCAGAGTAGTAAGTTATAAACTGCATTGAATTTTAGTGATTGCTATTACCGCTAAGAAAGTAAATTTGAAGTGAAACTAGCAAAACGACCCTTGAATGATTACCAATTCCTTATTAAAGTTATCGCTGGTAATTATTGTATTTTGAATTTCTGAAACTCTGAATTTCATTATTAGGCATGGATTGCTGTCTACAGTCCAGTTGGCATTGAGCATTCGTTAAGATTTTAGCTGCTTTTAGATACAGCAATACAAAGACAACCTATCTTGATAACGAACTTCATACCTTTAAAATAATGCCAACTAAGGCAATGGACATGATAACAGCGAAAAAAAATGTGAGCAGCTTCGCAAACTTCAGTTGTGTTTCCTGTTTCGTCTTTAGACAGATAATGATGTAGACAGCAACAATAAGAAACAGCGTTACAAACACACCGGTGTAATCCAGGGATGTGTAGGAATACGTTAGGCCACCTCCAACGATCAGAATGACAGTTGCCGGCCTAAAATATTGTAGGAGATAGTAAGTTAGAGTCTGAAAAAAGCATTGGTCTTTCTTCGTTCCCAACAAAAAGAAGTCATGTTTCCTCGCTTCAATTCAACGTTACTTTAAATCTTCTTAAAATGTCACACATAACAAAACAAATGTTATATTCAAGACTGCTTACCACACCCCCACATACTTTCCTGCCTCAATTAAGTGGATTATACCTACGTTATCGGACGGTGCTGAGATTCTCAAGAGCTAATCGCGTCCAAAAAGACGCCAGTAAAGGTAAAGTGAAGAGTGTGGAGCCTGCATTCACTTGTTGGTGAGACGAACCACCAGAAGTCCGTTGGCACCATATTCATATGCGCAGTTAAAATTAATGACGTTATGTTTCATATTACATATTTTGTGGTAAGAACATTCGTTAGTCTTAAGTAGAAATAAGTCAGTCTGAAATCCAAAGACGAAGAAGTTAAGAGAAAAGAGTATCATAATGAAACTTTATGTAACTTAATATATAATAGTTTTGATAAAATGCTGTGAAGCACTTTTAGATTTAATTTTTGTCTGTAAGTCTTTGCCATAATGTGCATGCGTATCAGATGTACTTTCTCATTGGCCAAGACAAATGAATAAAATAAAAGCCCTAAAATTAAAATCTAGACTCGTCTGCCCAACAAAGACGATGCCATTTCCTTGAAACTTTGTCTGCACAAACAGATGAAAAATTAAAGCAGAATCTTTTTAGTTTAGATTTAACTGATTACAGGATTGTAGAGGACAATTTCTCTGTTCTCTGTCTCATTCTTCGCCACCAGCAATACAAGAGTTACACTGTGTTTAATGGAAAATAGCTAACGTTTCCTGAACCTGAAAACAAAGCACTTGAATAGCTACAACTATATGAACTCATGTGCAGTTTGCTCCGATTGCACACACAAGATTTTCGTTTGTAACTACTTTATAATTAAGATTGGTCCTGCAGTCTATGATTCAGTGCTTCCAACACAGAAGTTTCATGGAGGGGAAGGAGCTTGGTAAGTCAATGCATTTTTTAGGGCATATATTTGCCAGTTTCAAATACCACCTTGGTTTAAGGAAACTTTCGTATCTTTGAAGATAGCTTCGAAAAAAGTAAACATTTTACAACATACTTGAAGCTTTTTCGTCTGAGACTCCTCAGATTATAAAACGTCAGAATCAGGGTCGAAAAGATCCAGATGGAAAATATATACCCAGATGTGGATCGAAATAGGCCAATCAGAGTTCGTATATTCTTTAAAATTACTGCTTTGCATGATACTAAGGGACCTAAAAATTTCCGTACATTGTCTACAAATTCTAAAAACTATTTGTAAACCCACTAACATGGTTTTTGATATCCATTAGAGCGATGTCAAATTGACAGCTAAACCTAGGCAAATGATAACTGATAGAAAGGTATGTAGATACCCACCCAATAACAGTAGATACCATAAGAACAATCTGGTACAGGATAAACAAGAAATTTATCTCATCATTGTTTTCCCTGACTTTCAATTGTTGGTTGATAAGCAATGCCTGGTTGGCAATAGTAGAAGGTCCCCATCTCCGGCGTTGCTTAAAAAACTCTTCAAAGTTATCTGGGCAGTAGGTACTGTTTTCTGCCGCCGCGCAGTACTCAAGACGCCACCCGGCTTCTACCATCAATGTGCAAAGCCAACGATCTTCACCTGAATAGAATGTATAAAATGTCATGCTAATAGGTCTTGTGTTTATTTTGTTGACAGTCAAATTATAAAGCCCAGCTAGGATACTAAAAAATCGTTCATTGCTTATATAGCCGTCACTGCCAATGAAAATCTAACACGTTTAAAAAGCTATCTGAAATCCTGAGCCATGTTAATGATTTGTAAACTATGGTAGGCTTTGCTCATGTTACTGATTGACTTGAAACTTAAAAACCTGGGCACATACTGTTCACAACATTCTGTCCAAGTTCTGAGATTGGCCGAGCAAATGTTGAATCAAGGATTAGCGTAGAATAGACAGAAACTGAAGGCAGGCCTTGACAAAACTCACGAAAGAAGAAGTGGGACATTCATGTCATATTTGGTATAGGAAATGGAGGAGAGTCTGTTTTACCACTGGGAGTTTATAGGGGGGCGAGGGGGCAGTTGCCCCCTGGAGTAAAAAAGCCGGCAAAATTAACATTCGGCAATATCTGGTATTTGCCATTTTGTCATTTTCAAAAAAATTTCCAACATTAATACTTAAATCATTTGGGGCCTTGTTTCCAACAGCATTACTTCCCACATAAAGTAGAGTAGAATCGATATGGAAGATAGGTCAAATACAGGGGCGGATCCAGACAAAAATTTGACATTCTCAAAACCAATTATGACCGACCGACCACGCCTATTTCCCGGAAACGCCTAAGAAATTGTTTTTTGTCTTTTATGGATGCAATGATTAAAATAATTCTAATTTTAAGAGGAGAAATAGAAACAAACAATAAAAAGTGGCAGACACCCAGAGGGGATGAAGGGAGGCAGTTGTTCCCCAACATTTTGGGAAGACAGAGGTCTTCTATTCTAAAAAGAATGAACAAATGTGATGATGCATAGCTATTGATGCATTTACTGTATCTTGGTCAAAACTTAAGTTCTATGCTTTTCCAACTTTCAGTATCATTGATTGATGTTGAAAATTATTCAAGATGGAGCGACTGGGATCATAATTATTCCGCTGTGGTCCATAATTAGTCCAACACAGTACTGGTTTCCACAACTAGGGGAGCACATCATTCATGCTCCAGTACTACTACCCAAGAAGAAGAATCTTTTGTCCCTTCCAAACAACAAGACTCACCCACTACTTTCAAGACTACACCTGGTTGCCATGCTTATCTCCGGAAATCCTTGGAAGGTGAGGGACTTCCAACAAAAATCGAGAACATCATCCTCAAGTCATGGAGATCAACAACAATGCAAAATATGACTCGATACTCAAACGATGGGAACTATTTTGTCGTCAAAAGGATTGAAGTATTAATGCACCAACATTGAACCTGATGCTTGAATTTTTAATGCATCTTTATGATCAAGGATGTCGATATAGTGGCATTTGTTGGCTAGATCAGACTGTCTGCAGCGTACACCCTTGAAGGACAAGATATATTAGCACAACACCCATTAATCTCGAGATATTTAAAGGGCATATATAATTTGCACCCACCTACAGCCAAATATTTCAACATATGGGACATAACCACAGTGTTGGACTACTATGCAAAAAGCAGACAAAATAAGGAGCTCACACTTAAAGAGTTGACAATGAAATTTGTAATGCTGTTAATGATTCTTGGGGGATGAAGGAAACAAGTCATATTGGCTATTGAAATTGAGAATGTTAAAATCACTGAAGATAAACTCCTTCTGCTTCCCAACAAAACATTGAAACATAAAAAACCAGGCAAACCACTGGAATGCAATCTTACAAAAGATTTATGGAAAATACTAAACTATGTGTTGTTCATTGTGCAGAAGAATATTTAAAGCGAAGGAAACTACTTGTTAATGAGAACACTCATAAACTGCTTATAACACACGGAAAGCCACATAAAGAAGCATCTTCAGATACTGTTGGTAGATGGATAAAAAATGAATTATCTAACGCAGGAATTGATGTAAACGTATACAAAGCTCACAGTTGCAGGGCAGCAGCTGCTAGCAAAGCAAAAGCTATAGGAGCCCCATTAAACGAGATTCTAAAACATGGTTGTTGGAAAAGATCATCTACTTTTACAAAATATTATTCAAAGGACATCATAGGCACCAACGTACCGACTGGAGAAATCGAGCTAAGCGGTATAATTCTTGAAAACTATGGACATAATCGAGACTTATAACTGGAATTTTTAAAAAATATTACTGAGTTTGGTTACACCTTATAATGTCAAGTTGAGTGATTTTCTGTTCTATTCTGATACAATAATGTGCCTTTTGTTTTTATGAGTTCATGATGAGTTCATGGGACAAACTGACTCGGCCAGACTTTGAAGTCTCATGTTGGCTGCTCCTTCGCAGAAGTAGCAGTGAGGTAGAATTACCAAATAACCGATTGAAGTGAAGAGTATTTGGAATTCTACCGATCTGCGAATTCAAGAAGTTCATTAAAAGTACAAACATAAAGACAAAAGCATCCTATCTCATGTGGATGCCTTGTAAAGGTTCAAATTGTTTTCTTTCCTAAGTGCCCTAGAGAATGTTTTTGGAAGTTTTAAGTTCTTCATCTGGTTTGAATTTTTTTACAAATTCTTGCGATGTAAATGCGCCCAAGGCCTATACTGTATATTGCATGTCACTGTGATTAAACTAATTTCTCTTACATGACTTTCTCAGTTGTTTTCTTTAAGGGGTTCTGAGCTATAAGTTTATCAAATAGTCTGTTCAAAATGCCAATGGATACAACGGCATCATACAATGATCCATTTTGGGCTCAATGTTATTTACTTTAATGCCTGTCCCCATCACCCAAAGATAACAGCTACCCAAATTTGATCTGCATTTGTACTGTTCTACCTGCATTCTAGCAAACTTTAATATCCTGACTGAGAATCTTCTCATCAGTTAGGAGGTTAATATCATAACTAAATTAAGAATAATTTTGAGTCATCAAAACAGAAAATGATATGAAATGGTAGTAAACTTGCTTAAATAAATGTACCTTGAAACTTTCATTTACATTAAACTGTTGACACATCATTAAGGTTTTTGAAACCAGACCCTTTCTTCGTTTAACTTTCGAAATTTATGCATGATTTTTGTCTGGTCATAGGAAGGAACAATTTTTTCATGCACTGCCACCAAGTATATGTGATACGATCACGCTTAGCAAAATTTAGTGTAGTGGTATTATTCATGTGAGACACGTACCCATATCCTTAGTAAGAAAATCCATTGCACTATCAATTCCAGTTGAGTACAAAGGCAGCACATCGCGTAAAGCTGTTGCGCGGTAAACACTAAAGCACCCAGGTGAACACAATACAGAGCCAAAAACATGGTTTGCAACCTAAAAGAAACAAGATAATTTTTAAGCATTCAGTTGGCACTTAAAAGTGAGGGGGTCACTGGGAAAGGGGACATGAAATTCGACATTACCGCACTTACAGGAATTTTTTGCCATATTCATGCGAGCAGGAACGCCAAAAGTTTGGCTTTCTTAAATTTAAGCTGAAAATTTTATCTTGATTATCTTTGAGTCCCCCTTGTCTCAGGAAGTGGCTTAAACGGCCCCTTTGCCGTCACCTTTTTAGCAGGGCTGCAGAAAAGCATAAAGAAAAAAAGTTGACGCAGTTTCGTCGTTTTTGTTACGATGATAATTTTATCGAATTGTTTGAAACCACTTTCATTTGTGCGTAAAAAATATTAAAGAAAGCAAAGCGTCAAATTTTTGAAGAGGAAGTAGCTGGTTCTGGCAAAGTTGCATAATAAGATCGGATCGGATTGGATCTGATCGGAACTGGTCGGGCAGGATAAGTTTGTATGGGATCGGCTCTGCGTACATTTTATTTGATCAATATTAGAAGTTGGTATTTTACAATAGTAATTAAAAGCATACTGATTCAAACCAGCTTTTTACAAAAAAATACAATATACTTTGTATGATTTTTATTCAAAAATACAATATAGCTTTTTACTAAAGAAATTAGCGGCATAATTTGCAGGTACATTTATCGCCAGCCCAGCCTTTGAACTTTTTTTTGAAAGCCGCAAATGTTGGTTCATTTTTAAGACTTTTAAGACTCATCTAGGGTATTCAAAAGTAGACTCCCTCTAAAGAACAGTTATACTTGCCCATACCCCTGTGTCTTTATTAGTGGCAGTTTGCAGAGATTTTGTATCCTTAGGTTATCAGTTACATGCTTCTTCTCATGAAATTCCTATATAATCGATGGGTTAGGATGATTCATGGACTTGAAGATTTCTGTCATCAATTTCTGCAAGCTTCTACAATGCCTGCCAAAAGTCTTGGAACACTGACATCAATTTCCAAGGTCAAAACCAATCATCCCCCTCTCTCCCACGGAACAATGTTGGTTTACTATCAAACGGGTAAGGATTTTAGGAAGCACTTTCTTTTGCGCTTCTTTTATGATATTTCTCTAAATTATCAACATTGTTTGAGGGGGAAGGGGGCGGAAGTAGCAATTTTTTTCATGAAAGGAATGAAAGATATCAAATGCAGCGTCAATTGGTGGGTGTTCCAAGTACTTTTGGCAGGCATTGTAGCATGTATACAAAAACTGCCACTTCGAATGAGTAACGTTTCAAAGGAACACTCGTAATCTTTCAGAGGATCCGACGAGCACGTTTGTGTGTGGTCAATCTCTTTGTATACACCTTTGTTGCAGAATAGCCAGATCAAAGGGCAATAATTGAAGTTCGACAAGATAACCACGTTGTGAATTGGTAATGCCTGCTCTCTAGATATATATGTATTTAGCCTAGAGAAGGCACTGACTTTTTGTTGACGTTTGAGCATAACGTTTTAACGTGGTTGCTAAATTTTAATTTGCTGTCAATTTCAATCCCTAGCAATTTAACATGATCTGTTGCAGACAATTTGGTCTCATTCATGTTAAGTCGTAGGCCTCTCTGCCTTTTCAGGCCAAGGAACATTAGCTGGAATTTTTTTGGGTTTGCAACCATGCCATTATTTGAAAAAAACCATTCTGGCAATCTACTTAGATCACTTTCCAAATTGGTAACAATTTCATGTAAATCTAGCCCACATGAGTATATGGTGTTATCATCTGCGAAATTACAGATCTCTGAGTCTAACGTCATGAGACATAGATAACTGATGAATATGTTAAAGAGCGAAGGACCTAGGAAGGACCACTATGGTACTCCACTTATTATTCTTACACGAGACCCCGTGTACGCAAACAATTTGCTACGATCAATTTTGCAACGGGGTCAATTTGGATTCGACTCAAATGAGGTACAGTAGAGCCTTCACATAACAGACACCAAAAACACTTAACGGGCCAGTGTAATTGTTCGTTGTATAGTTATCTATTGCATAGAGGTGTCCGTTGTATAGAGGTGTTCGTTGTATATAGGTGTTCGTTGCATAGAGGTGTTCGTTGTATAGAGGTGTTCGTTGTATAGAGGTGTTCGTTGTATAGAGGTGTTCGTTGTATAGAGGTGTTCGTTGTATAGAGGTGTTCGTTGTATAGAGGTGTCCGTTGATGGAGGTTCTACAGTATTGTGAATAAGATCAGTTCTAATGCCAAAACAAACTGGTATAAATTGGATTTGTGTTTACACGAGACGAGACTCTGCAGATTCGAACACATTTGGGTCCGTTATCTGTACTCATTTGCTTCTGTTTGTACTCAAGTTGACCCAAAGGCACCTGTCTAGCGTAAGCACACGCATCAAATTCATAAGATCCAAAACTCTTCAAATTCGACCTACCTTCAGAAACCAATGTCCAACAGCATAGTCGAATATCTGGTACCATACTAGAGGTCCAGCCCCCATGGGCCGAGTACGGCCGCAAACAGCCCCTACACGCGGATTGCGGATCATCAAATCCATCAAAGCAGATACGTCATCAGGGCTGAACTTCACATCGGCATCCGTCGTTAGGATGTAGGTCAAGTCATCTAGTCCTTTGGGAAAAACAGCTTATTTCAAGTATAAAAAAGAAAAAAATAAAAAAAATCACACAATATTTATTATACAATATCATTTATGTTGGGACTAATCATCTTTGATTTTGTAAACACATGACAACACCGTAGCAAATGCGACTATCTCAGCTCATTGTTATCAAACTAGCTAATTTCATCTTTATGATATTGGCAAACAGGCAATTTAGAAAAAGCAACCTTTTCCAACACATTGACACATAACAATGACAAAGATACATCCTGGACTTGTCTAAACAGACATTTTGTGACAGTATCTTGTGACATTACGCATTTTGATAACAGCTGATCAGAAAGCAAAACTTACTGTCCCTTTTCGGTCTTTTGAAATCCAAGACATAGGACATGTACATGACTTGACTCCATCGCTTTTTGTTCTTCACCTAAAAAGAAAGGCATTTTTTTAGGGTTTTTCACAGTTTGCAATGACGAGATTATGCTACATACACTATTACGCGGCTAAAAGGCGCATCCGCTTATAAACGGAAATAATGATTTGTCATTTTTCAGGATACGATCCAGCTGTTTATCATTAAAGTTCTTCGTCATCATGTCAGTTTAAACTCAAAGGAAAATTCAAAGAAATTGATAATGCAAGGAAAGTAATCTAGCAAGCATGTAAACGTTGTGAAAGAAAAAATTGATAGCCACATCGCTGTTGCTTGATTTTTCACCTTTCTCGCAAAAACCGCAAGATTAAGATCCACGTATAAGCGCACTGCACCTATATCCGGGAGTAGGCGCGACTATAAATGAGGTGCGACTATAAGCGGGGTAATGGGGTTCACGATATATTCCCCACGCTGGGCACCAGTCCAACAATGGAGAATCTTGAGCCATTAAATCTTTGGCTGTTATTTCAAATCTATATCAATAATTTGGTTGTAAAGTGATGACGTCACACAATTTTTCTAAAGCTCGGATAAACATCATATAACTTGAAAAGAGGACCACAGGGATATGCGAAAATCAAACTAAATCTTGTGAGTTGGTTGATATCTGTCCAGGGAGAGACCTCAGCTTATACTGTCGTTTTGAAATTACTGATTTTGTTTTGATAGCTAAAGGAATTACAGACAATTTGGTTTAGTTCATAAGTTTCAGATTACAATTGATTTATAGGAAAGCATAAGAGACCAAATTACAATTGATTTATAGGAAAAGAGAATGTGCTCGTCTGGCTGTATCTTATCCAGTGGTTAGTAGATTGAGCTGTTTTTTGCACCCAGAACTATTTAATTATGTCTTTTTCAAATTATATGCACAAAAGTCTAAAAATATTCAGGACGTCAAAACTGTACATCACATCATATTGAAAACACATTAAATTGCAGCTACACTGAATTTCCGAAATAAAAAAGAAAGAATTGGACCTGTCAAAAACTGAAAAACTACGCTAGTGGGAAATTGTTAACTCCCTAATATTTTACCAGTCTTCCAAATATTACATTTACTCTTATCATCACCCCCGTTTTAAAAGCACGTTAGAGTAAACCCGAATTTAGATTGTAAAATTGAAAACGCACCGTTAGCGGTTAGACATATAAAGAACTTCAGAAATATGGATTTGAGAGAAAAGCCTGTTTACTGACATGTTAATAAATTTTATTCTATTACGTTTTATCATCTCAAACATAATTTTTTAATTCTTTAGCACTAGACGGATTCTCAATATAAATACCATTAAATATAAATATCAAAAATAAATAGTACACAAAAGTAAACTAGAATCGTTAATTATTGCACATTTGTGGATTCAAAAAAGGCAGCTGCTCTCAAATGATTTCACCTTCTTACGACGCTCAGAACTTTTCCAGAATGAAACTATCCACGGCCTTCTGAACGATCTTTTGATGAATGAAGGCAAGCCTGAAGCCTTTCTCATATATTTCTCTAGAAAATTCAACATTTTGAACCTGATTTTTTTTTAAATTGTTGGAGCCAGAAGAATTGTTAGTCTAGCACTTGAAAGGTCAGATGTGTATTACAGTAATCCACGCTTGGAACCCTTCTATTTAGCGCACACGACGTCCACCAACTCTCATAATGTTCATTTAACTCTCATATTTATTTTTTATTAGTTTGTCCCCTTAACGAAACTGCTAGGAATTCTATGTTATCTATGATTTATTCAAAATTTTCCAGAATTTCATCCCTTGATCTTTATGATAAGTTTATTTGGTTGTTGAGTCAAGAAGATACGGATTGTCTGATATCAATAGCTAATTTTATATCAGTGGCTTTTGAATCACAAGAATTACTTGGGAAGTCCTTTATGTGCATATCTACGTACGTTCACTTTTTAGCTTATAATCATTTTTACATTTGCTTATCTTTGTATTAGCTGTTTGCTGAACTCTGAGATTTATTGTTAATTTGTTAATTAATCCCACCTAATTTTTTGAAACTGAAATGTTTTCTTACCGAAAATTTCAAACGCTAGAAAATCTCGTTTTCCACCGATGAAATTTCAAAACAACTAACAAAATTTTTCCTGAACTTTTTTTGAGTACTACCATACATTTGAGTACTACGATAGATGTCACAATCGATCAGAATTTCTAATCCCTTCATTGCGTTTGGCGATCGAAAACATGGCGACGAACTGTAAACGCTTCCAATTAATTTTCCTCCTTGGGTTAGGAAAATGAAATAAAGGTATGTATCCTGCCGCTGTGTACAAAGAATACTGGTACTCTTAAGATGCTGTTGTAAACAGTTATGAATACGTTAAAATAGGTAAATTATCTTCGTGCACAAACATTCGTTTATTTGTGAAAAGGAAGAACCGCAGGATAGGCTGTCCGCCGGATTCTGTGAATCTTGCAATGGGATTTTAAAATGAAAGATAAACAGGAACAAAGCAATACGACGACGAGAATCCAATGTCACGAAATAAAATTTTCAAAATAAATTAAATTTAAAGAGTATACTCGTCGTATTTCTCGTCGTCGTATTTCATTGTTCCTGTATATCTTTCATTCGTTTATTTGTTGCTACAAAAATATAAGAGATGCGGTAAATTTCTTCACTAACAAGTCCGTCTAGAGCAATGGTGCAGTGCTATCAAAATAACAAGGGGGGCTCTTGCACATATTGTCATGTCAGTTGGTTAAGCCATTAGTCTGAGTTTGAGATTAGATACGTTGGCTGTGAAACTCTTTTGCCGGGCTTCTGCTTTTTGAAGTCAAAATCATAAAAGTTGGATAATTTGGCTTTATTTTAGTGTTATTTAGACTTTTACAGTATTGTGCTCCTACCTTGAAGTTGCCTTCACAAGCACAATACTTAATGAACGTCCAAGCACAATCCCGAGAGTGTCCAGGCAATACCATAAAAGTCTAAATAGCACTAAAATAAAGCCAGATTATCCAACTTTTATGATTTTGACTTCACAGAGTTTCACAGCAAACGTATCTAATCTGGAACTCGGGCTAATAGCTTAACCAACTGACAAATAACCAGCAGAAAATTGATTAATCAAAAGAACGCTAACTTTAGCACATGAAAAGTCAAGGGAGGTACGCTTTGCAAGGCTACAACTTCCCTGGCTAGGGGGTTTTGCCCGAGTGCCCTGAGACATAGTCAATGCCTGAGACAAATACAAAGCAAGCAGAGAAAGATCATCTATAACTGGCAACAGCTGTTTAGCTTGATGTGAGGCCTTCTTTCTATTGACTCTAGACCAGGAGTGTAGAGCTAGGGGGCTCGGGGGCTGAGCCCCCCCATACCAATGCCGAAAATTGGCCAATTTTTTACTTTTCCTGCTGTTGTTAGCAACACTTTACGCATCTCTTATTTTTTGTAGCAACAAAAAAACGAATTTTTGTGTACAAAGAAAATCTTCTTATTTTGACGTATCATAACTGTCTACAACAGCATCTAAACAGTACCTGTATTCTTCGTACACAGCGACAGGATACCTACCTTTTTCTGGATCGTTGGCTTGCTGACGACGTTGAGTCATCATCATTTCGTGGCCGCAAGCAATAGAAATCGGCACACTAATCACAGGGAAACGAGCATGACTTGCATGGCAAAAAGTTACGGAAAAGCGTCTCTATATATATACCTATATATATGCGTTCCTCTCGACCTACTACATAGTGTACTCATTCTTCGTACATAAAAAGGACGTCCTTTAAGTAAGAGTTCGTTGCATTCTTGCCTACACTTCAATTTCATTTAATTGGCTGACATCAAAATATTGCATTTTTGTAACTTTCATGATTGTTTTGCAGATAATTTTATGTTGAAGGTAGAAAAAACTTGCCGAAAGTATTTCATTTCTTTACTCAGCGAAATTTACACCGAAATTTCAAAAATATGGCTGAAATTTTTTTCCATCGAAAAATAATCCATCGAAATTCTTGGCAACAATTTCGGCGCCAAGAATTTCGATGGATTATTTTTCGATGGAAAAAAATTTCAGCCATATTTTTGAAATTTCGGTGTAAATTTCGCTGAGTAAAGAAATGAAATACTTTCGGCAAGTTTTTTCTACCTTAAATATTAAAGACTCATTGCTAACAATGAGCCATTGCGCTACGCAAGCATCCCATAATGCATTTTCAGACAGTCTGAAATCAATTATGGTTAATCCGTAGAAGTTTACTGCCATTGTTTGGATTGCCACCCTCGCAATGGCTTATTGTTAGCAATGAGTCTTTAATATATTACGTTGCACAATAAACCTAGCTGCCAACAAAAGGCGTTTATCATTTTTGACAGTAGGAGAATAAACCTACCCCCGGCTAAGATTTCAAAAGAGAAACAAAGCAACCATCGCAAAATTGTCTCATTATTATTGTCTAAATGCATAGTCTAAAGAGGTAATAGTAAGGTATCTTTCAGATGGCAATAAAACCTTCCAATTATTTATGTTGAGATATCGTAATGCAACAACTTCACATGGCTTCAATCGCATGTATCTTTTTATCATGCTAACAAAATCAAATTGTTCATTGTATACGACGCCAAGATCGTTGCAACGAAGATTGGGAGTTGATTTTTTCATTTCAGACAAGATTCAAAATCGGAATCGCACGACGAACAGGACATGTCACCACATAGTAACACGACAGTTGCGGTTCTTATTCAAGTTAACTGGTATTACAGTTGCAGGTTTTGGATAGCCTTCGGACTTATTGGTCTTCTCCTAAATATTTTTGAAGCAGTTGCCATATTTCGCAGCAAAAAACATAAGGGGGTGTTTGGCCTAACCCTTGCTAGCCTCTGCGTTGCCGATGTTCTTGGCAGTTTTTGCTTTTTATTGGCAGGATCACTTAGGTTGCATGAGTACGCTGGTTCCTTTACGATTACAATCAACAAAAACTCGCCATTCGCCGCAAGTTGGAAAGCAGGCCATGCAGCTTTGTTTTTC